GAACTTCATCAAGAGACAGCTGGTCTGGGCCCCTGCTGCTTTTCCAAGGGTAGTTGGTACAGTAACAGGCAGAACACCCCACACAGTCATTGGGCAAACACCTGACAGCTACTGGTCTCTGTTCTTCAGACCCTAGTGTGTTTATCTGACCATTTACAGAGGAGCATGGACCAGAGTGCACAGAGAGAAAATCCTAATTACCAGCTGGTCCAAGTGGGGGCTCTGGAGAGTATAACCACTTCAGGTGGCTGCCATTGGCTTATTGGGAGACGAGAGAAACACAGAGTAATACATTGCTCTTCCAAACTCAGGTGTGACTTACTTGTTGGGAAAAGATTTGTGATGTTTTATTTTTGAACTCTTAAAGCATGAAAGGAATGATCAAAAGCCTGCAAATCTCTGGGGCTTGAACTGTACAAATCTGTGAAGGACAACAGGCAGGAAATGCCAGTATCCCAGAATGCATTACTATGCCTCTAGCAGTTTGAAGACCACCCCAACCCCCTTGTAGGACCCGATGAAGTACCAGAGCAGCCTGGCAACAAAGCCCAGGCACTAGCAGTAAGGACACCACATTTCACAGAGCTGTTCAGCTATCCTGTGGAACACAGAGAACACCAATTCCTTCTCAGTTTGCTGTCAGTGAAGCCTCCGCCTTTTAAAGAGGTTACTATTTCCATTATTGGAAGTTATTCAATACTTCTAGTTATGACCACTTTTAAAATTTAACTTATTTTGGAAAACAAAATTAATCTTACAAAAAATATTTTTAAAAAGTGTTTTGTTTTGTTTTGTTTGAGGAGAGTAATGGAGCAGACCCATAGAGCTCAACGAAATCTATTGATATATTTTTTTATTTTATGATTACACCTCTTAATTTCTCTCCTCAAATTCATATATATATACATATATATACATATATAATTATAATAATAAAAATTACAACAATAACTATCATGTATATGAAACTCCATGTTGATTCCCAGGCAACCTGCTTCCTGCCTTATGTGGTTTACATACAGTATCTCATTTAATTTTGGTTATTTTTTTCTTCTAATATTTTATTTATTTACTTGACAGACAGAGATCACAAGTAGGCAGAGAGGCAGGCAGAGAGAGAGGAGGAAGCAGGCTCCCCACCCAGCAGAGAGTCCGATGCAAGGACTCTATTGCAGGACCCTGGGATCATGACCTGAGCTGAAGGCAGAAGCTTAGCCCACTGAGCCACCCAGGTGCCCCTCTCATTTAGTTTTTGAAAAACTCTGTGAGTTAAACATTTTCATGGCCCCAATCAGCACCTGAGGAACCAGGCCCAGATAAATTAATAAGAAAGTCAAAATAACAATTTCAGACTTAAGAATGCTGAATACACCCACAGCTTCCAAAGCATTTTGATGCAAACTCACTTTGATAAAATGAGCAGATTTCTGAAAAGAGGCACATAAATTTGAAATGTTTATATTAAATCATTGTTTTAAGCCACTAACCGCCTACACTGAAGAAACTAGTGGTCAATCCAGGGCAGTACTAGCATGTGATGAGAGCAGAGGTGTAGAGTGGTGTTGACGGTATTTAGGAAAAATACACTGAATTTGCTTAAATTGTATTTTTTTTTTCCAGATTGCTACTGTTGAAGTATTTTCTAAAAATGGTTTGTTCAGTGTGCCTGGGTGGCTCAGTTGGTTGAGTGACTGCCTTCAGCTCAGGTCATGATCCTGGCGTCCGGGGATCCGGTCCCACATCGAGCTCCCTGCTCACCGGGGGTCTACTTCTCCCTCTGACCTTCCCCTTTTCATGTTTGCTCTCTCTCATTCTCTCTCTCTCTAATAAATAAATAAGAAATCTTTAAGAAAATGCTTTGTTCACACTTAATGTAATATGGAGGAAGCATCAATTGTTCATATAATGAATATACTTTTTTCTGGACTATTATTAATTTGGAATACTTTTTGGAGGCTGATAGAGATTATGGGTACCTAAAACTCCCTCCCTCATAATAAAACCCAGCATCTGCTTTTATACGTGAGTGATATTTTCATTATATGATCTTGGACATTCTTACTTGGGCTTACCCAAATTTTCTTGATTATTTTCTCTTTTCCTTTGAAGAACACTTGCTGAAGAGATTATGTCAGCATGTCCCAGAACACAGCTCATTTACCTCAGTTCTTTAGTAGTATATGAATAAAGTCAACTATGAAAGCTGTCTTTCCTCATAGATACCCAAGAAGTTTGGTATCTGACCTTTAATAACAACTATGTTGTCATGGATGACTAGAAAAGATATCAGAGTGGGGGACAGATTCATCTCACAGTGGTTTCTGAAGGCCTAGCATCCCTTCTACTCCTTTGGAAACTCAGGTCTTCTACCCAAAGTGCCCATGACCCAAATAGCCCCACAATTCTTTCCCTACAATGGTTGAGTGATATCAATACTGGGTTTAGAAGCTGAAGCCCCAGATTCTGTATTTAACTCTGCTATCCACTAACTATGAGTCCTTTGGGGAAAAAAAATGCTGTTTTCCAAATACTTTTGCATCTATAAAATGATGATAAAATCACCCTATCTATATAAAAGTCTGCATGATGCAATGTATCTAAAAGTTCTTCTGCTAAAGAAAAATAAGTAAGGTGCAAAAATCCATATATCCACAAGGCGTACAATCTGGATTATGAGCTTTCATTGTTTTTTTTTCTTTTGTTTTGTTTTGTTTTCCCAAAGCAACTTGTTGGCCTGAATAATCTTAGGTGGATAGAATAGAGCAGTGTGGTATGTGGTATGTGGGAGCATTATCTGATGTCTTACCCCTACCTACTTTCAGTTACTGTTAAATCCCACCCAGACTCTGCCCTATCCTCAGCCCCCACCATAAGTCACAGTTCAGCCTTGTAGCAACTTAAAAAGAGCACTCCTAAGGACTATCTAAACCTTAGGCTGTATTAAGATTCAAATAGGGTATTTGTTTGTTTGGTTGGTTTTTATTGTAAATATATGTAACACGCAATATTTACAGTTTTAACCATTTTTAAGTACAGAGTTCTGTGGTATCAAGTGCATTCAAAGACCTATCACCATTCTCTGTCTCCAGAACTTTTTCATCTTCTCCAATTAAAAATCTGTACCCACTAAATAACTTCTTCCTCTCTCCCCCTAGACTCTGGTAACCACTCAGGGTATATATTTTAATTATTATTAGTACTGGATAAAACAGCACTAACTGCATAACAAACAAAGCCTAATATTTATAATGACTCAAACCTGTTTGATTCTTCTTTTTTTTTTTTCAGTTAAATAGTTTTATTAACATATAATGTATTATCTGCCTCAGGGGTACAGGTCTGTGAATCATCAGTCTTATACAATTCACAGCACTCACCATAGCACATACCCTCTCCAATGTCCATAACCCAGCCACCCTATCCCTCCCCCAACACCGCCCAGCAACCCTCAATTTGCTTTGTGAGATTAAGAGTCTCTTATGGTTTCTTCTTGACTCCTCTATCATGAATATATGACTCCTGGGCACCTGGGTGGCTCAGTGGGTTAAAACCTTTGCCCTCTGCTCAGGTCATGGTCCCAGAGTCCTGGGATGGAGGCCCGCATCGGGCTCTCTGCTCAGCAGGGAGCCTGCCTGCCTCTCTGTCTACTTATGATCTCTGTCTGTCAAATAAATAAATAAAATCTTAAAAAAAAAAAATGACTCCCAACGTAGCCATGCTTGCCTACCTCAAGCTCCTAGGTGAAGGAGGAGAACACAGAAGTAAACACGTTACTAGGCCAGGCCTGGAATCAGAACATGAGGGGTTCACTCAAATCACTGGGTAGACCGAGTCCCATGGCTTCATCTAGACCTCACAGGGGCTGGGAAATCCCATCAAGCATGTTAAGAAGAAAAAATGGGTTTGAGGATGAATCAAATAGTCTCCGTCATATCTGTCAAATTCACATTGCATACATGCCCAAGATTCACCATTAATGCCCTTAAAAGTTTTTTTTTATTTTTCTCTTTGGAAACCTGTTTTGCCCTGAGACAAAACTAGGTTTCATTTTAAGTATCTCCCCAGACAAAATAAAAACAAATTGCAAAGTTAAAATGTGCATCCAATCCCACTAAGATGCAGGAGATACCATCTAGAAATAGAAACCTTAACAAACAGTTGAGTAGCTCAGGAGTTCCTTCTTTACCTGCCAAGTCAATTCTGTGAAACCAAGGAGGATACACGTGTCTATAATCATGTGTATCTTTGAAGAACACTTTAGTAGCTATTGTTTCTTCTATGTTAGCTTCTATATCGGGAGAGCTTGCCCTCTCCTAATATGCACTACCGGTTGCACCATTAATTTATTTGTGTGGAACAACTGAGGAAGGTTTTGGTTGGGAAATGACTGGACACATGTAGATGTGGCTTGAAGAACAAGGCAAGTTGACATGTGTTGCAGTTTCTCCTCACGTAGAAAGGAATCTACCCTCCTTCACTAATTGCACTTAACTTAACCACAGGAGCTCAAGCTCCGTGCACATCAGCACTTAGCATCTGTCTTTTCCTTTCCTACAATGAGAGAAAATGCATAAATGCATTTGTTGGCAATACTGACAAAGACCGATTTGTGGAATAATTGAGACCTTGATTTCTAGCATTAGCCGGATGTTTACGAAATGCATCTTCCTGTCTACATTCCAGATGTTTCTTCTTATTTTAATAGCTCTTTGTCATGAGTTTTGCATTCTGAATTGTAAAGTGTTGAGGGAAAAGATTTTCATTTGCAAGTTTCATGGCGATGGCATAAACTTGAGCTCCCCCAAAACCCTGCAGTATTTATGTGTGGGTCCTTCCAGTTTGTTTTTCACAATAAACCTCAGAGGTCTTGATTTACAGCAAAGTCAGCATGAAATGGTCAGCAAACCTTGGTCCACTTCACTGCTTTGGCACATTAAATAAAGGTTTGGCTAAAAACATTGATGTTAGAATAATCTTTCCCTGAAACTTTTACTTCCCAGGGAACGAGCATTGAATACATCCCAACCTGGGTCCCTTCAGCTTACTGTGGGAAACCTGAAGCCAGAAGCCATGTACACCTTCCGAGTTGTGGCCTACAATGAGTGGGGACCAGGAGAGAGTTCTCAACCCATCAAAGTGGCTACACAGCCTGAGTGTGAGTATAAACATAGAAAGACACATTTAGAAAGTATTTCTTTTTGCTGGCAATCTCCTTGAATCCTCTCCTAGAAATTAAGGTTAAAATGGAAGGAATAATTCTGGAAGGAGCATATTTAACTTGAGGATTTTTAAAGGTAAGATAACGTTTTAACAAAATGACCTCCCCACTTAGGCCGTCATGGCAACTTAACAACTAGGAAGGCCTAATCCATCCATACAGTTTCCAAGTTCACTTCCTAAGTGACTGACTGACTCTGCTGGGTAGGCCTTTATCATCAGCATCAGGATTCAGCCGCCTTCGGCTGACTTTTTAGGTTTCTCAAGTTTGTTTATGAAGAACACCAAAGGTGAGAGAACAACCACATGGGACTTCCAAATACAGGGACCTGTTAAAGAATTTAAACGTGCTCTGGATGCCCTTAAGGAGATTCCAACTGCCAAACTCAACTCAAGAAAGGAAAAGAGATAATCTCTATTGGCCAATCTCACTATCTTCCAACTTAAATCACTCTTTTAAGCTATATCATCCCAAAGTAAAGCAATTCAATATTCCTTGACCATGTGATAATTCAGCGATTTCTACTTTTATAAAAGAATAGCTCCAAGGCTATATATTTGAAGGATATCTATTTTATAAAATTTTGTTTTTTTTTCCCTACAAGCTTCTAATGTTATTTGAAAAGATGGATTACTGATGAGCAGTTTGTCAGCATTATTTTGTTAAAAATTTATTATAATATAAAGTATAAATGAAGTGACTACCTATAACAAACTACATTATTTGAAGACCTAGCTGTATCTACTCCTTTTTCTTTTTATTAATGATACTACTCTGTTCAGATTCCTGCTTATTTTATTTAAAACTATGTTTCATTTCAGAATCATCTCATATGCTTTTGGAAGAAGGTGAAATAGAAATTAGAAATATTTTAATTGGTAAATGAGGAAGTAATCTTTGCATTATGTCAGTTCTTGAGTATTTTAATTTTTAAAAGATCTTATTTATTTATTTGAGAGAGAGTGAGTGTATTTGTGCATGGGTAGGGGAGGGAGCAGAGGGAGAAAGAGAAGCAGACTCGCCCCTGAGCATATGCCCGGCTTGATCCCAGGACCCTGAGATCATGACCTGAGCTGAAGCGAGACACTTAACCAATGGAGCCACCTGGTGCCCCTACTTCTTGGATGTTTTAAATCATCATGTTGAAGTAGAGAGAGCAGTTACCCACTGATAGGTAGTCTGGGTACTGGTATCATGTTCTATATTTGGCAAAATCTACATTTTTTCCCCCACTTAGCCAAGGCTGCAAAGAAAAAATGATAAAGAATTATAATAAAATATTTATTAGGGGTGGGGGAGATACTTAAGCTGTACAAATCTTAGAAATACTTGCCTCACAGAAATAAAACCTCAGATAGCATTTTTAAAGGCATAGTAATGTACAAGTTTCGGATAATAGTAGGAAATACAGGCTCCTGTGCAGGATCCAGAAGCTACAACAGGGTATTAAACATCATTCCTTGCAGGACTTTGTACAATATCACTGGTTGTTATGCTCATGAATGAGGCTGGTTCTACTTCCAAGTTTCTGTTCTTGAGAATGTTTTTAAATGTTTGCATTTAAATCACTAAATAATGCCAATTTCCACTTCATAATATCTATGTTTTACTCGGCAGTTTCTTCATTGACTTACTCTTAATAGAGCATATATAGAGAGAATCAATAACTTTTTATGAATATTTGGTATTTGTAATCAACAAAGTTGAATAAAAACAAACTAAATCAAAATATGTATTTCTAAAAAAATGGTATATGCCATGTTGTATGTAGACTGATAATTAAAAAACATCAAAAATTCTCTAAAGGGGATGGACTGGAGGGGATTATGCTAAGTGAAATAAGTCAATTAGAGAAAGACAATTTTCATCTGGTTTCACTCATATGTGGAATATAAGTAATAATGCAGAGGCCAATAGGGTAAGGGAGGGAGGATTGAATGGGAAGAAATCAGTGAGGGAAACAACCCATGAGAGACTCTGGACTCGGAAACAAACTGAGGGTTGTGGAAAGGGAGGTGAGTGGGGGGATGGGGTAACCGGGTGATGGACATTAAGGAGGGCATGAGATGAGATGAGCCTTGCATGTTAAGCATAACTGATGAATTATTGAACATTACATCAAAACTAGTGATGTACAATATGTTGGCTAACTGAACTTAAATACAAAAAAGAAAAAAGTTCTCTAATGGAAAACTTCATTCAGTTTTCTAGTGGTAGAACTTAAACTTTAAAAGTATGTTCATTTTCAAAATATCCAATTTCTATGAATTATCTGAATTCTTCACTTCCAATCTTAACGTTTCCCATAGAATTGTTTTAGTGTACATTTGAAGGCTGACTAGACATGATTACATTACATTCTGTAAAAACCCTAAGTAGTCAGCCTTGTTTTCTAAGACCGAGCAGCATTTTTTCTTCTATCAATTCCATTGTTTCTGTCTCCAGTTTAAATAATCAATTCCCAGAGGATTTTTCTTTTTTAAAATCACTTTCTTTTATGCCAACTTTTCCAAGCCACAGGAAAGAAAGGATACCAGCTAATAATAATGCCTCATTTCATGAAACTATTACTTATCATATAACATTCTCTGCCATATTTAGTATCATTAATAAAAAGAAAATCAGACAGTAATTATTGGCATCACACATGTGGCCTTAACTTGTTTAAAAAATGCCATGCCATAATTCAGTTTATAAGTTTGTTTAATAAACATCTGCTATGTTCCCAGTACTGTTCCCTGACATCTAAGGCACCTTAGAAAAGCGTATGTGGGTAATGAAAGAACAGCACTTAGGGATCTCAGAAGCTTCTTGAGGAAGCAGATATTCTAAATGTGTAACAATAATAAAGCAAGTAGAGTAATGGAACTTGTAACAAGTTGTTAAGTGAAATATTACCATCTCAATCATGGCTTTACATGTGGTCCCATTACCTGTGATAGCTGAGGCATAATGTCTAGTTATTTTTGTATGCCCAAATCACATTGTGTCTGTCTCCTCAAATATGTGTATTTCAAAGACAGCTGCCTCAGACCTTTGTATGTCTTCCATTCAGAAGGTAGTCTGAGAGTTTGTGCAGAGGACCTCACTGGGTGCTTGTCTCTGTAAGCATTTATTTGCTTAGAAGTTAGCATAAATGATGATGAAACTAAACGATTGAGTGAATAAAGCACATAGCTTGTTAGTACTACTGTCTCATAGAAGTTATATTTTCCCCAGAAAATGAAACGTAGAATCTTTCTGCTTTAGTAACATGAAAGAGCTTTGAATTTTTTTCATTAACAGCAGTGATAACGGCCTTAGGATTCTAACCGTACTTTGGCCTTTAGTAACAGCACTGTTTTATTAAATCACTTCTGGTCTTACCACCATATGGAGTAAGAATTCTTTCCTTTGCCAGACATTGTTTACTTGGATGGTGACCTAAATCTGTTTTGTTGAGAATTACCTTGGAAAATTCACTTCCTACTCAGTGGATAGGTACATAGAAACAAATCAGCCTAGATAAACAGTACATTCAGAATATCCTTTAGATGTGCAAAACAGTTAGCCAACTCCTTCAATTCATTTAGATTAAGAATACTGTGTAGCTCACCTGCTGTCTTTACTACAGACATTAGGATAAATAAATTATGTTATCATGACTAATAGGTACTGCATGTGTACTTTATCTTCTCTTGTTAACACAAAATGCCATTTTGGCAATTTAAAAATATGTCTAGGATAAGGAACACTTCATCTTCTTCAAGTCTGTTCAGTAGTATACCAATTGCTGAGGAAGATGGAACATCCTAGAGATCCAGTGCTTCATTTCTCTCCTCTCCCCTCCTCTCTTCTCCTTCCCTTCACTTTCTCCCTTCTCTCCTCTTCCCTCCCTATCCCTTTCCCCTCCCCCCTTCTTTGTTTTGAGAGGAAGTTCAAAGGCTGATTTTATTATTTGGGTGGAATTTCAGAATTTAGAGGGCAAGGTTTGGGGGAGGGGACATTTCTATCTTTATTTCTTTCCCTGACAAAATGATCTTATCTTTTGAAAATGTGTCTCATCTGGACGTGTGTTCGGTTGCTCCTTTTATCAGTGTTTTTCCAAATATGATGGAGTAATTGTACACTAAAATTACATAGCTTTTATACAAATTGAATTTCAAGTTTTCCATAATATTTGAAAATATCAACTCTATTATGAAAACCATATTCTCAAGGAATAAACACTAATGGAAAATATGTGTGAAATATAAATCAGCCAGCAACTGTTTCTAAAAGTGCATACATTTTGTAGTAATCATTTAAAGAGATCAACAGCCCAAGATCCAGTTTATGAAATAATCACACAGAATAGAAAAGCTTGATTTATAGGAAGGTTTATGTCCCCTGATTATATCTTCCTTTTGCTCAGCCCTTGCTTCTTTCCCCTGACTTTATGGCGTATAATTTCTCCCCTGTATTATCAGTCCGATTTAAGCCCCTGCCTGCTTAAGACTTGTCTAATCTTTTCATACCACATGTGGAGAGTTTTTGAATTATTATTTGGGTCTTTTAAGATGCTGTTAAGTCAGTTTAATCATGAAGGGTGTTAAAATGGACCACGTACAGGCTGGAGGTTTCTGTTAGAATGGGAAGCCTATTTGCTAGACCACAACCCAATTATCCACAAAGCCCTTTTATATTTGAGTTATAAGTAATATTCTTAGTCTGTTATATTTACACTGAAAAGATGAGTGAAAGCTACCCCCCCCCAATTTGAGTCACTTTGGAATATAGCATCTAGAGGAATAGTCTGTTATATTTACACTGAAAAGATGAGTAAAAGCTACCCCCCCAATTTGAGTCACTTTGGAATATAGCATCTAGAGGAATAGGTGTATTTTTCCCTCCTTCCTTGGAGACACACACACACACACACACACACACACACACAGAGTATTTGTAATCAACCAAGT